CAAAGGCACAAAGGACTGCACAAAGACGGTTGGGAAAGTGCAATGGGGGAAACCGGGGCCACATTGGCAAGAGGGCCAGAGGACGAAGAAGGTGCAGGCTGGCACACTGGGAGAGTGGCGGATTTTAGGGGCCTTGGGGCCTTGCTGGGGCAAGTGCCATGGGATGAATAAAGCCAGGTGTGTCCCACATCCACACAAGGGAAAGCACCAACCAGCCGGCAGGGGTATGCAATCGCCCAATCATCAGCGGAGCGGAGAGCAAGGCCGCTAACGCGTAGCCCAAACAGCCCCAAAGGACACCAGCGCCAGGCGAGGGTGGCCAAAAACAGCCCAAATCGCTGCTTTCCCACGGGCCGCCAGTAAAAACAGGAAGAAACGAAAGCGCCAGTCACCATTTGTCAGAATGCTCACGAACCAAAGGAAGAGGCTAGGTCGGGCGGCTCACAGCGAGCTCTTCCGATAAGACTATCTTACGACGTAGAGGAGAGGGTTTGCCCGAGAATTTCCAAGCGTTGCAGTATACAGTGAGACTGTGTATTGCTGTAATTACGGCGTAAACGCAAATTCGAAGACATTCACACCTCGCGGAAAACCCGCGGTCTTTTCTTGTGCAATTTAGAGCCGAGATGGGCTGCTTCATATAGCGCATGGCGCCTGTCTCGTTCCATAATGTCCCGTGCGTCACTGACCTACGAATACGTCTAGGCCGTTGTGTTCCCACTGTGCGTCATATTTTGTATTATTGCCAAGGCCTTGCGGGACAATGACAAGCGCTGGCTCCTTTGTTCAAGAAATATGTCGTACTATTCCCCGTACTGACGGGCACGTATCTGTTTCGTCGACGGGGCCATGCAAGCACACAGAAAGACAAAAGTGCCGCCTGCCAACTGCACGCAATGCCAAACGAAGCCTTGTCCTTCGGGCAAAAGAGGGCATATCCATCCGGGTCTATATGTGCCTCACTCTTAGAAGAACGCCCTGGGAAGGCAGTCGGGAGATCGGTGGCGGGAAGGCGCGAAAAAGCACTGCCGTGCCTTTTCAGTCTGTGCAAATTTATCCTTTTCTATTTCGTCCTTTCACGGCCTCCGTGAGTGTGTCCGACTAACAACGGAGAACTGGGCCATCTGGCACGATCCGACCTCGTCCTTGCAGTGGAGGCCGAGGAAGCGGCGGGAACAGGACATCGCGAGAATGCCCCGAAAGACTTCGGATGCCCACATTTCGGGGCAATAGGAAGGGACAAACCGGCACCACCAAACCCTCCAGGGCCTTTGAGCTGGTACGGTAAGATATCGCGCTATCGGACAAGTTTGTTGCCTTACGAAGCGAGTTGCAGACGTAATTTTACCCTACAAGCCACTCGAGAAACGATGGAAGACCACGAGCGTCAGGTAATGTTTTCAGTGAGCCTATTGCGAAGTTATGAAGAATGATAGTTTCCATAGCGTCAGGCCGTCGAAGTGTCAGCTGTTCGTTTCTACTAACATGTTACATTGGCATATCCTTTCAGTGCCTGGCGGCGCATGCTGTCAGCAATCTCGCGAATGTACATATACAGGGCAAGCAGTGGACCGTTAGTATTAGTTTCAAGCTTTAAAAAATTGTCAGTTACGCGAAGTTGTGAGACAGCGTGAGAATCGAGGCAAATCGTGCCAAATCAGCGGTGGGCCGCAATCAACCTGCCGTCTTCAACGCTCGCTGAACGACATACATCGTAGGGAAGCTTCCAAATCAACTCCAGCCTTGGACACCACCACCCTCTGACGGAGAGACCACGGGGAGATTCGGATGCTCGACTCAAGACACGACACATTGGCCAGCAAGTGGCCAGCGCGGCGGTGCACCATCGGTGGGAGTCGTACGAAATAGGTCGTAGGCTATTGTCTGAGATCAATATTGACACAGAACGGAGTGCATACGTTGAACGGACGCTGCAAGTGCGGATTTCCGGATGGTGATGACCTAGTGCTTTTTGCGGAATATCAACTGTACGGGAGTACACACATCCACACCGCTGGGGTTGTTCGTATGTCCTTTGTGCCTATTGTTTTTCACTCCAATTTCCAGCATTGTCGTCATTTTCAACGAAACAAGGCAATTTGACAGACGCAACATCCTTGGCCTGTTGTGAAAATGTGGGGAAGTGCCAGGGCAAAAATAAAACCAAAAAGGCAACACCCCCAATTCCGACCCAAAGGAGATCTTTTTCCAGCGACCTGGTCTTGTTATGGACTAACACTACCAAAAAGGAGCTTGCAGATTTGGTGATGTCAACTTCCTCCTCATTATCCTTGAAAAGCCTGCATACATTAATCGACCCTCTGACGGGGCAGAGTGGTAATGCATCTTGTCACCCCTCCGTCCGGTCCGCCTGTTGTTTTTGCCTCTCGGTCGCGCATGCATCGCAATGTCTGACCGGTGGCAAAATTTTCAGGTCATTCGTACTGGGTTTTGCTCTGCAAAGTTCATGGACAACAGAAGTTTGGCCAGCCACTGGAATCCTGGTCACGTGCCGAACCTACTCTCGGGGATTGCCGTCAGGGTCGGGGGGGGGGGGGGGGGGGGGTGTTTCCCGGTGCTGTGGAAGGAGCGAACGGCGGACTTCTCACATCCCCTCCTGGAGGGCAGGCAACCAAAACAAACACGACGAAACCAGTTTCTCCCAAACAGGGAAAGCAGAGACGATGTTTCTCTCCTTGCCGTGCAAAGTTTATAGTCGATTCCGCATTCGCCGCAAGGAGCTGCAGTTGTGGTCCGTTGCTCAATTTTCTGTTATGTCAACCAGCGCCGGATGCGCCCGTTCCTTCCGCAGTATGGTGTATTACACCGTCCCCAGCCGGTCACGTGCACGACTGACGGACACGGCTGAGGACATTTCTATCGTGACAATCTCATAATTCCACATTTCACAAGCTTGCACTCTCTGTCCATCCACTGATGCCCCTTTTGCTCTTGACTTTTATATTTTGAAATTTTTGTTTCACATTTCATAATAGATAACCCGTCTTTTAGAATTTTAAAACACCTTATTTCCGTTTTTCCTGTCCCACCTGAGCTCAATGTACGAGAGACGAGGCTGGGATGCGAAAACGGGAAACCCAAAACGTCAAGCAGATACAGCATGTTGAGACAAAATAGAAACGAGAGGCAGACACCCGCCAAGCACGACAGCAACGCTTACTCCTGGGTCAGCTCGGCAATGCGGGCCTGGATGCGCTCCTTGCGCTGCTCGCGCGTGAGTCTGGGGGTCTTGTACTTGAGCGACTCGGCCTTCCACTCCGCCTTGGACTTCTTGGGGCCCTCGCCCTCGACCTTCTTGAAGGGGTCGGCGCGGATGGCCTCGTGGGCGTTTGTGTACAGCTCCTCCAGGTCCTCCGCGGTGACCTCGTCGTCGGTGTACTGCTGGAACTGGCTGCGGAAGCGCTCCTCGTCCTCGTCCTCGAGCAGCTCCATGTACTCGCCGACGTGGCCGCCGAAGATGTAGTTCTTCAGGACCTCGGCGTCCAGCTCCTTGGTCTCAATGTCGAAGCCGGGGAAGCGGTTCTCGGAGTGCGGAATCAGGATGCCGCCGTCCGAGGCACCCTTCATGGCGCCAAAGACACGCGCACCCGTGGAGGTGCGCTGCAGACCGACGTCCAGGAAGGCCTTGAAGGGGCGGCGCTCCTCGCCGTCCTCGCCCTCGGCAGCCTCGGTGAGGGTGTACTCGCCGTCGGGCTCCTCAACACCCTTGAAGGTCTCGTCGAGGCCGAGCTTGCTCAGGACACGGCGGGCAATCAGCAGGCCGGTGGCGTAGGCCGCAGCCCAGTTGGTCAGACCGTGCTCAATGCCGTAGGCGCGCAGCTCATGGGAGTAGGCCGAGGCGAAGACTTTGTCGCCGGTGATCTCCGAGGTGACAATCTGCATGATGATGTCGCGGTTGGTGAAGCGGACGACCAGGCGGTACTTGGGCGCATTGTACTTGTTCTTGGCCTGGCTGATGAGGCGCTTGCGGGCGTAGTAGTCGGTCTTGCCCTGCTGGCGGCGCTTGTACTTGGTCTGGAAGCGACTGAAGTACGCGCTGTTCTTGACGAGCTTGTGGAAAGGCTATAACAAAAGAGAAAATAGAAACCCCGAGTCAGCAATTGTCGCTTCAGAGATAGATTGTGTTTTTTTTTGTCTTTTTGAAAAAACAGTCCTCCTCTTTCCAATCCGAAGCATCTTGCGTTGACTCTCATTCTGTCCCTGTCTCCCCTCATATCCATGTGTCATTCACTTCTGTATCGGCGGTTGTCGATGCAATATGCGTTCGGATCGAGTCGTCGATTTCGAAATAACTTTTCCTTTCCATCTTTTGTTTTGTCTCCGTCCAGGCTATGGCCACGAGGGTCATGCCGTCTCTTCCAGTTTCAACTTACCATTTCGGCGGCTTGCTGTTGCGTTTGAACGGTGCAAGGTGGTGAGGATGAGTGGTGGTTGGGAGGGCGAAAGCAAGAAAAAAAAATGAAGCAATCCAGAGTGCCAAAGTCTGCGCTACATTGAACTTTTTCCGCACAATTTTTGTGGGCTGCAAAAAATTCCCCACTACCAGCCAGCCCTAGAAAATGCAAAAAAAGGGAACGGGCAGAATGGTCGGGGACGACTTTGGTCTGGTTGGGGACGACCCTTTCTTATCTTATCGCACGTGACAGTTTTGAGTCGCGTGACTTTGCACACGACATGTTTTTTCTTATGTCATTGTTGGCCCACTTTTCAGCTTCGCACGGCGCTAGCTCATCCGACCACCGCTGTGGAGTCCCTTGCTCCTACCCCGGTATTGCCATACCTCGGCCCAATACGGTATGCTGACCCTTTGGACTCCTCAGCACAGCAAAGTCATGGCTACGCCAGCCCCAGACACACAACGACGTCTGGGGTCGAGGTAAGCAGCACGCACCTCATCACTGCACCTTTGCTCGGCTTGAGGTGCGAACGGTAACCGTAATCGACTTCATTTCCGGCAGAAACCGGCAGAAACCGTCAAGATGGCAGTGCAAAAGCAGCCCAAGGTGATCCTGTTTGACATTGGCGGCGTCTGTGTAAGCGACCGACGACGAGAACGGAGCAGCAGGGGAGCAGCAGGGACACAGCAGGAGTCTATTGACCGTTACTGACCCCATGCACAGGTCCTGTCGCCCTTCCAGACCATCCTGGACTACGAGATTGGCCTCGGCATCCCGCCGGGGTGGGTCAACCACTCCATCTCCAAGACGGCCCCCGACGGCTTCTGGCACAAGCTCGAGCGCGGCAGCATTCCCATGGACGCCGGCTTCTTTGCGGGCTTCAACCGCGACCTGCGCGACCCGGGCCGTTGGAAGGCCTTTTACGAGAACGCCCGCCAAAAGTCGCTGGGCACGTCCAAGGAGTGGCCCGCCGAGGTGCCGCCTGTGCCTGACATCGACGGCGAGCGCATGTTCAATGACATGATGAAGGCCTCCGACGCCCCCGACCCGTGGATGTTTCCGGCGCTGCGCGCGCTGCGCGCGAGCGAAAAGTACGTGCTCGCGGCGCTCAGCAACACAGTCATCTTCCCGCCGGGGCACGAGCTGTACAGCGACAACTACTTGTCACATCCGATCCGGGGACTCTTTGACGTGTTCATTTCCTCGGCGCATGTTGGGCTGCGCAAGCCGGAGCACGCCATGTACCAGCTGGCAGTGCGGGAGACGGACAAGTACGCACGGTCGTACGCAGACACACCACGCGGCGAGGCCAATGGCTGGAAGGACGGCGTGACCGCGGGGGATATTCTGTTCCTGGACGACATTGGCGAGAACCTCAAATTTGGCAAGAAGCAGGGCTTCCGCACGATCAAGGTCAACTTGGGCCGTGCATATGAGGCCGTCGACGAGCTCGAGGCCATTACGGGCTTGCGGCTGCACGGCAACCACCCCCGGCCTGGCTCTAAAGCACGGCTATAAAGGCACATGGTTGGGATGTTTTGTATTAAATAGAGCGTTGCCATCGTTTTTGCTTATGCCGGATATCATTTCTCCTATGATCATGGCTACTGCTATTGGTGCTGGTCCTCCTTCCACCTGGGCATAACTCTCCTCTCCCCCAGACGTACCCCATTAGGCGGGTCACGTAGTTACATGCAATGTCCGTCTCGGAACCAGCGGAGTCCTATCCGACGCACCAAACGGCCCATGGCAGGACCACCATGCTGCGCACCGTCGTGAGAGATGTCGACGAGTGCGTCTCTCCAGCCTAGGGTGCTGAAACTGGTGACATTGAGATCGTAGTCTCATATAACCAAAATTGGAATTCACGTACCGATAGTAACACAGCTAACCGAGAAAGCAATACATATGTGACAGAACACCAAAGGCTGCAGGATGCAAACGCCTGGGGCTCTAGTACAAAACTCCAATGGTGGTCAGCGACGTCAAACTCCTCTCCTCGGTCACGAAAGTCCACTCCGAAAGACATGCTTGGCATTCTGCATATCCGTGTTATGATGCCAAGATCATGCCGTTGCGCAGCGCCCGCTTAAACCGTTCTGCAAAGTCCCGCGTACCGTCGCAACTGCTTTGGCTGCGTTTCTCCATCGCTGCTGGCATCCACTCCTGGATCTTTTCCATCCGGTGTTGGTTCTAGATGGTTAGCATGTGCGGTCCATAGGATACAGACTCCATGTTGGGGGCCTCGACGATGCCTACCGAAGGATGCGTGCTGATCCACTCTGGCGGCTGCACCCTTTGTGCCTGGTCCATGCGCCGCCAGAACTCCACCGCCTGCGACGGGTCGAAGCACGCCTCTGCCATGAGCATCAGCCCGATCAAGTCCGCCTCGCTCTCCTGCAGCCGGCTCATGGGCGTATTGAACACGAGCTCCACCACTGGTTGCAGAATAAAGTACGAGAGGCCGGCCGTCAGCACAAACGCGCTCGCCAGCAGCATTGTCGTGCCCACAGCCGACGACGCCCGCTCGCCATGGTGGTTCGCCAGGTTGTGTGCCAGTTCGTGGCCGAGCACCGCCGCGATCGCGTCCTCGTTGCGCGCCACGGCAAAGATACCGCTGTACACAAACACCTTGCCGCCCGGTAGCACAAAGGCATTGACAGTCGACGGGTCGTCAATCACCGCAATCTCCCAGTCGCCCGGGTTGTCGGACATCCCACTAACCGGAATCAGGCGCGACATGACGTTCCGCACAACGAGCGTGCGCGGATCGTACGCCGGCAGGAACCGCTGGCCCAGTGCACGCGCCTCCTGCATGAGCTGCTCGTATTGCATGTCGCCGAGCATCTTCATCGAGTCCTCACTGAAGCAATTGAACCGCCGTCGCCCGGACACGGGCACCAATTCCATGTGCGAAAAGTAGAACAGCAGGGCGGCGACGGCTGCGACCACCATGACCGTCTGCATGCTCGTGCTGTGCATCGCCCGCTTGAAGAAACCGCCGCGGCGGTGGAAGCCACTGTCTTCAAACGTCGCTTCGGGTGGCATGTCGCCGGCCGAGACGGGCACACCCTTAAACCGGGCCCGCGGCTCCTGTCCTTGTCGCTGGTGTTGCTGATACTGTTCCCAGCGCTGCTGCTGTTTCTGCTGCTCCTCTTGCCAGCGTTGCTGTTGCTGGCGAAAGCTATTTGGGTCATAGTTGTACATCTGTCGGGACGAGCCCGAAAGCAATCTTTGCTGTGCAATCCGGAACTGGAACTGGGCAGCAAAGGGCACCACTACCACCGTGGTGGGTGGGAGAGGTCGCAATGCGCTGAACCGTAGGGCCCACACGGCTCGGGCTGAGGCCCTTGCGCCCGCCGGGGTTATTTGCATTGCCAGCATGGCGGCCGATGTCGTGTATTTTGTACACAAAAGACGGCGTAAAGAGAAAGGTTTGCACTGAATCATGACGGGTCAACGGATCACAAAACGAGAATGGTACGAGGGCAGGTGCGCACCACTCAGCGTCGTGGGCGGGGAGGTGCAATGACCGTGATTATGTAATATCATCTCCACTTTAATCAAAAACAAAAGTCCTTTCTAGCTCAGCAAGAACGGGCAAGTGCGAGCATAATTATTGTTTATCAGAAAGCAGTAAAGATACAAAGGAAAAATTGGAGACAAGCGAAGAGAAGAATTATAGAAAAGAATAAAACATGTCAGAACCATAAATTCCTAAAATCCAAAAATAATCCAAAAACAACCCTCAATTTCTTATGTCCCCAGTCAGAGCAGAAGGACAAAGAGGGTAACGAAACCCAGTGCAAACGAACTGACCCCGGCCTTGGCTGAGCCGGCAGTGACGACATTCGAGCCAGAGCCAGAGCCCGAGCCGGAGCCAGAGCCAGATCCACTGCCCGAGCCAGAGCCAGAGCCGGAGCCCGAGCCCGAGCCTGAGCCGGAGCCGGAGCCAGAGCCAGATCCACTGCCCGAGCCGGAGCCGGAGCCAGAGCCAGATCCATTGCCCGAGCCAGAGCCCGAGCCCGAGCCCGAGCCTGAGCCCGAGCCCGAGCCCGAGCCCGAGCCCGAGCCCGAGCCGAGCCAGAGCCCGAGCCAGAGCCCGAGCCAGAGCCAGAGCCAGAGCCAGAGCCAGAGCCAGAGCCAGAGCCAGAGCCAGAGCCAGAGCCAGAGCCAGAGCCAGAAGAAAAAGAAATCACAGTCACCGTCAACGAGACGGACGAGTCCAACCGCATGCGGGACATTGAGCCCATGGAGGTGGAGGCCAACGGCGACCAAACAGGAACACGCCGGCAAGAAGCGAAGGCGCCAGTATGTTTTGTATTTTCCA